TTTCCTGCTTTACTTTTACTTTAAGTCGTTTTAAAAATGATACTTTTAGACTTTTACTGGAGTGAAAAGCTGAAGTTGATCCTCTAACTTTTACTAAAGTGTTTTTAAACAGCAGGATTTATACTGGAGGAATAAACATGAATATTTTAGACGTCTCTATTTATACGAGAGAAATTCTTTTCTTTTTCTGTAACGTTAAAAAACGTCTGGGTACCTGAATTAAATGTGTCCCTCTGTGATAAATCTTCTCCTTAGTTTCTCTCTTGGTTTAAAATAAAAGGCCTTTAAAGTCCCTCTGATCTACTGAGCTGCTCTTGTTTTTCTGGTTTTCATTTCCTTCTCAAACGCAGCCAGGGATTGTCCCTTCGCTCTCTGCAGCTCAGAGCTACGAGCGGCTCTGCTTGCTGTTGGATGTTCTGAGTGAATCTGAAATCTGTGGGTGTGGGCCCATAGATTAGATGACTCGCTTCCCAAACGCATCCATCAACAACGCCTACCCTGTTTAACACAGGCAGAATATTTTATTACTAACTGACATTTTATCTGATGTCTACTAATTAATTTGCAATCCTCAGGAATTGAACTCTTATTCACAAGACAGTTTATTCTGATTATTCTGATGCTGTCTGGATTTGCTCCAAATGTCACAATCAATTTATTTGAGCTAATGACATCTTGGCTTGTCTGCCGCCTTTCTACACATGCAGGCCTCATTCTGACTTAATGATGCTAATAGATCGAGTTGCAGGATTTAAAAGTTGTTTCCTGTTCTTCAGGCTCACAACAGGAACCTGCTCTCCATAGACTTCGATCAGAGCACCCGGGTGGGGAAGATCTACGACGACCACAGGAAGTTCACCCTCCACATCCAGTACGACGCGCTGGGCCGGCCCCTGGTCTGGTCTCCCAGCAGCAAATACACCGAGGTGAACATCAGCTACTCCGCCGGGGGCCTTCTGGCCGCCATCCACCGGGGGGAGTGGTCTGAGCGGCTGGAGTACGAGAACGAGCGGGTGGTGTCCAGAGCCTGGGTCAACGGCAAGATCTGGAGCTACACATATGCAGACAGAGTGAGGACTCGCCTTTACGATGCTTTCATCAGCTGGGGGGGGGGGGGATCAGCTGCCTCTGGTTGTTTTATCCCCCCTGAAACTGAAACCAAAGTTTAAAAGATGAAACCTGTGACCTGTGTCAACTGTTGTTAATCCGGATCACCACAGATCTAACGGCGTTTACATCAGCTGGATCATAAGCTGTGTGACACATAACTGATCTCGTTTCCAGTCGACTGGCAGCTTTTTCTTCTTCATCTTGTTTTCTGAGCTTCTTCTTCTTCTCTAAGTTGTGAAAAGAAAACAACAGTTTTCTAAAAGGGGTTTTTACAGCAGACTAAACTACTGCTCTGACAGATGCTCTGCTGCCACAGGAAATGTCTGCCACTTCTTTTCAAACTTCAACCAATGAATCATTTTACTCCACATCAGCTGGAATGATTTGGTTAAACACAGAGTCCACATTTTAAATGATATATTATTATTTTATAATAGCTTATTATATCAAATAGTTTAAGCATCACAGCGTATCCTCTGGGCTTTACATTCAAGCTATTTCTTTTCAAATAAAAGTCTAATACTTTATGTAAAATAAAACTGTCGTCAGCTTCCTGCCTAAAGGTTAGGGCATAGGGCTTTGAATCCTGAGGTTGTGAGTTCGAGTCCCACTGCCACTCTGGGTCCCTGAACAACAACCCTCAACCCCACCCTGCTCCCCGGGTGCCGCACTATGGCTGCCCACTGCTCCCCGGGGAAATGCGTAAATCTCTCCAATGTGAGATCAATAAAGTTCAGTTATTATTATTATTCCTGAGGGTTAAGCTGATTGGTTTAGATGTCAGGCGTTGAATTAAATGGAATCATCTTTGACTATTAAAATGTGAAACATGTTTAACAGCTTTATAAAGTGAGGCGCTGCAGGCGGCCATGGATTGATCCGTGAATGAAAACATCAGAACAGCCAAAGTGAAACAGGAAAGCAGTGAAATGTGGCTGTGAAGTCGTTCAGAGCTTCTCCTCTGTCTTATCCTGCAGTCCATTATGCTGCTCCTGCACAGCCAGCGCCGCTACATCTTTGATTACGACCAAACAGACCGCCTGGTTGCCGTGACGATGCCCAGCATGGTGAAGCACACCCTGCAGTCGCTGCTCTCCATCGGCTACTACAGGAACATCTACACCCCGCCGGAGAGCCAGGCCTCCTTCATGCAGGACTTCACGCTGGACGGGCGCCTGAGAAGGACTCAGTACCTGGGGACGGGACGCTGCGTCGTCTACAGGTACGTCTGGAGGCCTCTGGGCTTTCATGCTGCTGCAAGTGGTCGGCATAAAGCCAGCTGGCCCAGTTATGGTTAAAGATCCTAAACGTAGCTCAGCAAACCTGCGGTATGAGGTAAGAAGAGAAGCTGATTTCAGGTCCGTTCCTCCTGTGGTTCCTCCTCTCTGATCCCTCTCATCACATCATATATTCCTGTAACTCATCTACATGAGAACGCCGTTTCTAAACGGCTCTGTTCTCCACATCATGACTTCCACAGTAAACGCTCTGATTCTTATGAAATATTGACGAAAGCTGCAGCCTCTTCCTCTAAGGCCCCGAGGGATCTTTGTATTATTCATTCCGTGTCGCATGTTTACTAGAATGGAAATGAAATGCATTGTATTATTCTACTTATTTTTCAATTCTGTTTTTTTTTTCTATTTTTTTTTTGTGTGTGCAGGTATACGCCAGCAGCTCGGCTCTCGGAGGTGGTTTATGACTCCACCTTGGTGACCTTCACTTACGACGAAGCCTCAGGCACCGTCAAGACCATCCATCTCACTCACGACGGCTTCATCAGCTCCATACGATACAGACAGACGGGTATCTATTCTCTGTAACAATAGAAAAACGCTCGTCTTTCTCAAAAGCTTCTCTTTCTGGCTTTTTCTCACATTTACAGGTTTTAAACAAAGATAACTGAAAAACTGACCTGTTGGACTCTTTGCTGTAGAATTCATTTTATTCGGCAACATTGGAGGCTTTCTTCACACAAACATTATTTTCTAAGATCAAACAATCTTGATTAGGTTTAGATCCAAACTTTGACTAGGCCACCTCAGAACATAGACTTAGAAAACCATCAACTGGACTTTTTTGTTTGAAGATGTTTTGCTTCCCAACCAGGAAGCTTTTCAGGACACAGCTGTAGGTTTGCATAGGGACCAAAGGGACCTGTCCCTACCAAAATATTGGACCGACCTACTTGTCCTTACCAATAATTCGATGTGAATAACATGTTCATAATTTACAACACGGCGTTGTTGCAGCAGTCGCTTCTTTTCCTCCTGCAGCTTTGCTGCCTGGAAGCTGCTGCTGCTCCGTCTGACTTCCTGCCTGCTCTTCCTTGTCCCTTAAAGTCAGTAAC